AGCCCCATCAATGATAGGAAAGAACGAACGTCTTGTAGTGCTAATTAAAAAATAAATAAGTGCAAGTAATGCTTTATAATTTATGCTGTATCACTGCATTATCTACCAAGAAAATCTGTCTACAAACCTACTTTATTAATTTTTTTTCAACTTGATTTCAGCCTAGGTATAGCGAATCAATAAATATATCGATAATCTAAAGATAATAATATTTCAATAGAATAAACATTTTAATTATTTTATGATTTCATATTTATGATACCTAATTGAAATTATCTCTTAAAAAATTGCAATTGTCGATGATTGAATATTAAAAAATAAGTTTTAGTTTTAAAGATTTGGTATCATTAGTTTATAGCATTAAAATTTATTTAAAACTTTAAAAGTAATTATACATTTCATAAAAACCAAAGGAATACTATTAATTTAAGTATAATATTTACTTTGATTGTATTATAATTAATTAATTAATTAAAATAATGATATTTAAGTATTTAAATCATAATCATCCACGACATTTTTATAATAAAATCAATGATTAAAGTTCATTTTTACGTCACATTTTTTCTACGTCATTGTTTATCTTTTATTACGAGTAGTAATATAACGTAGTTAAATAAACTTATGATAAAAATCGATGAATTTCATCATTTTAATTTACTTGATTTAATGAATAAATATCTTTAATTTAATTATTAAAAGTATATTTATTATAGTATGATATTTACTATAAGTTAGTATAAATAAATGTATACACATTATTTCAATGATAATAGATATTGTTATAAAATCAATGATTATGTTTTTAATCGTTATCACCTCTTCCTTATCATTTTGCCGATTTAAAATTATTAATTTCGATTTTTACGCTTTTATATTCCCATTTAGCTTCATCTATATTTTATTCGCATTGCTCACAATCTCTCGAACCCGCGAGTGTGAGTTTTATGTTCATGTGCCATTTGTAGCGGTCTCAAGGTAGATCGCAAAAAGTGCCAACAGCCGGACGGCCGTCGGATTTTTTTGTTTTCTTCGGCCGTTTCGTTTTTTCGCAAAGCCATTCGTGCCTGAATCGGTTTTAAAAGCCGTTTATATGCGGTTTTCGATCGAAATCGCGTTCATAAATGACGCCGAAGACCGACCGACTAACTGACACGTATATATACGTAATAGAGTACGATTTTTATTGACGACAAATCCCAAACGCTTTGTACAAACCCCGTTAAATAGAGATATGAGAGATATACGTATTACATCGAATTATAAGTATACTATATTATGTACTACGTCCGAGTTGGTTAGGTATAGGTTTTTCAAAAGTAGGTTGATAGGTAGTTCCGAGCTCAAATCCGTCGGCATGTGGCATGGCCGTACGAGTTTTTTGCATTTTTTTCAAAGATTTTCAAGTAATTAAATAGTAGACAAAATATAGCAATTTTCCTTTAAATTTTTTTTTACACAAAATTATCATAAATACAAATATTTTACTAAATTATGCTCATAATTTTAGATTCTGAGTGAAACGATGAATGTATTTATTTTACAATGATGTGTGTTTTTTTTTTATTTTTTATTTTTATTTTAATTATTTTTTTTTTGTGTCAAAAGCAGTAGTCGAAATAATGCTTCAATTTTCAACTTCAGTATCTTGTTCGATTGGAAAATGAATATCGTTGGTGCATTGAGGAGGTCAAAATTTATGTATTTACAATTTGTAAAATTATATCATTGAATTCAAATTTAATACTATCCATTATACAGTGACCCACTTGTAACCTACTGTACAACAGAGCACCTTTTTGGTTGTTGAATTTGATATACCACTTTTTATAGTTAAGCTGAAAAGTATAACAATTTTAAAATAATACAAATATATTAGTAAATATCAATTTTAATTTTTAAACATAATTTCCAGGTATAAATATATAAGATAAAATAAATAAACGGTATGAAAAATGTTCTTAAAATACAAGTAATTTTCCTTTGAAATGTTTATTTATTTACTTAGGTATTTATTATATTATTATGTTTGTTTATTTATATTACATTTTTTTTCCATTATTATAATATACCTATGTATCTTTACCCTCTCGTGGTCATCGTTAAAAATGTATTGAAGTGTCATTGCATCCTCGCCATATTTTTTATGTAAAATTATACTAGTATAATGGGCTTCATTCATAGATGGACCATGATGACAGATGTCGGATTTTAATTATAAGATTTACAATCAACTTTAATTTTTGTAGTAGGTAATGCATTAATGGTTAGATTTGATATTTTAGTTTTGATATTACTGCAAAGTTGAATTTGAAAGTACAAATATTCATTAGTAGGTATTTATTATATTATTTGTTATCTGCGTATGATCTGAAAAAGTATTACAGGCACTGCAATTAACGCCTTCTATTAACAATTCTCTGAATAAAAAAATCTAGCATTGAATTTAAAGTTACTGTTTAATTTTCATTAGGTACGTTAAGTTGAATATTATAGTTTTGAGTTATTTGTATTCTCCCATTATGACACGCAGAACAAACTAATTGTACCTGTAATTTATGAGACAACGCATTTTTTAGTGGATCGTATATGTTTATGAAAACACTAATAAATTCAGCAGCGTCTTTTTGTTCTTCATTAATAAAAGGGTGCCCAATCTGTCTTCTAATACTTGAAGGGCTTAGAATATTTTCATGTGAAACGTAAGACAACGCAAGATTTTTCAGAACAGGATGTTCCGAAGAGTAAAGTTAATTAGATTATAATATGTGTACAATTGAATATGGCATTTAATGATGGATTGAACTGGTGTCCGGTGCACAGTGTACAACCGCGACGAAAACGTATAAGCAGTGGCGTGCCCAGGGGGGGGAGGTTAGGGGTTATATCCCCCCATTGGCTTTTTTTTTTAACTTCGACTTATTAGATATTACCATAGACATATAAAATTTTCTGAATTATAGTAACTTCAACAAATAAAACAGCTGAAGATTTTTATAGATTTAAAATATAATATTATGTACCATTCTTGGATAGTTTTTTATCACAGTTACATGATCAATTTATAAAACATCATAAATTATTGCAAAGTTTTAGTTGTATTCTACCTGGCTATAAAACTCATTCAGGAACTGATCAAGATATTAAATAAATCATTGATACATATCAAGAGGATTTGAATAACAGTAGCTTAGTTATAACTGGAGAATTATATTTATGGCAAGAAAAGTGTAATGAGATTCATGTATCAAAAAGCGCTCTTGATGTTTTTAGTGAATGTGACATAATAATATTTCCACACATACACAAATTATTAAAAATTTTAACTACCGCAACTGGTGAACGGTCATTTTCCACATTAAAGCGTTTAAAGACTTATATAAGGAATTCTATTGGACAAGCAAGATTAAACGGCTTAGCTCTGATGAACATTCATCGAGACATTAAAATAAATACTGATGAAGTCATTAATGAGATGAGTACAAAATCTAGGCGGTTAAATTTTCGTTTAGAATAATTAAGTTGTTTTTTAGAATTATTTTTCTTTTGTATATTAATTATTTTAATAAAGGTTATAAATGTTTTTAGTTTAATGTTGTCATTTTATTTAAACAATAGTGTATAGTGTGTGGCTATTTAAATTAATTCTAATTGTAGAACGATACTCAATATGCATGAAAGTACATATGTTTGGCATTGTTTGTGTTTGGATAACCATGATTAATTTAAATGTACTTTTACTAAAAAATGTATAACATATATCCCCCCCCCCCATTGAAATTTCCTGGGCACGCCACTGCGTATAAGGCATAGAGAGGGTAGTCACTGGCGCTGCGACGTGAAACGTTATAACTAAGTTATAACTAAAACGGTCGGTACAATATATTTTTGCATCAAAAATATTTCACTTTTTTGCTAATATATTGGGCAATTCGGCATTATTCAACCATTATTTTCAATAATGACAAAGGTTGAAAGGCATAATCTGAACATCATGCCCGATCTAATGATAACCAATCCTTCCATTCATTAGGTCCGTAGCCCTGGCTAAAGAAAATGGGCAAATTTACACACATTCAATTCTGGCTCGTGTAATGTATTACGGTAGTGACCACTCAGCTTTTTTTTTTTTACTCTCCACTACGCTGGATATCTGAAAAGTATTGATTAAAATTAAAAACCCGCTAAGTACCCATTTAAAAAGTTTTGAAATAACTTAGGTGTAATGTTGTTCATATCTTCAAAATTCTTGCAATGAAGCACATTTTTTAATATTTTCAAAATTAAAAGAGCGCCGATTATCCGTAGGAAATATTGTATTTAAAAGTTAAATTAACATTAAATTAAACTGTCCAGTTTAATCTTACCTTTGTGTCTTTTTTTTTTCTAATAAATAATGATGGATTGTATCATATTTATGCAACAGAATATATATCTGTATTGTGGTTTATACATTCAACGTTATTCCTTTGAAAAAAGTGTGCTTGTACAATTCGATTGATTTAAAATGTAAATTAATTCTCCGAAAAAAATTTACTGACCTGAAATCTCATTATACCGAATATCGGTTAATCGGGTTCATGCATACTGCTGTTGATATTCAACTCATTAATTCAACATGTTCATACCCAGAACTTTCTAAGTAAAAAAAAATAGAAATCATGTTTAAAAATAGACATTTTTAATTTTTAATGCACATTTTTTCAGTACATCAAATTGTTAGATTGTTGTACTTAATAATTAACGGTTCCTTCCGCATACATTTTCATATATTATAACTCAATTTACATGTCTGATAATTATCTTAAAGTGTTTTAATTCAATAATGTATTATATATTATATATATACAATTGTTTATAAGCTAACGTTACCACTTTGTTCATGAGTCACCACGATATCACAAATTCAAATCATCTAATTGTAGCTCTTAATTTTTATTTTCAGTAAACTTAAGACACTAAATATTAATAATATAAAACCTATTCATGGAATGTTTTAGGTTCAGTTCAACCACATTTACGTGGAGGGCAGTATACTCCTTGTACTTCTATGGATATTATTTAAAAAAACGACAAGTTCTTCAAATGCAAAAAAGGTTGAACCATCAGAAAACGTGAGTTATTAATAATATAAATAATAATAATAATGAATAATAACAATATAATAACTTATACATTTATATTAGTCAAAGTCCAAACATTTAATTTTTATTTTTCACAAAGAATTACTGGTTCAAAACAGTCACAAACTCTTTATTCTGTCCAATGTTGGTTCTAATTGTTTTCATTCTTTCTCAACACTTGTAATGTTTATATTAAACAGATAAACCGTAGGTATAAGTATAGGCCATAGGGTAAACTGTTAAAAGTTTTTGGTCTTATAATAAACTGTATACCAAAGTATAAAGTGTTAGTCACTCGTTTGGTTCTCACCTTAATAACTTAGGATTACAATAACTACGTCCTGGTTTGGTCAGGACTGCATCTATCAGTTTTTAATATAGCGTCCCAGTGTTCTGATAAAGTAGATAAAGTAGAGTTTTGGAACGGTCAATTGTCCAGGAAGTAAATTTCAATAATTATTAATTTAATGTTTTTTCTTTTATTAAACAATTAAAGTAGAGTTACAGATTTTGGTAAGTTATTAAATAAACAAGTTAATAACTCTATTGACAATCAGACGTCAGTCCTATTTTAAAACTATTATATTGGTAGCGACTGGTGGTAACACTTGGTGGCGACTATTATTACGAATTTTTGTTATTACTTATCAGTAATCGATAACTTTGTTAGTTACTCATTCCAATTTGTAACATTGGGTTAGTTTTTACTTTATTTTATAAATTACAAACATATATGTTACATGTTGTAAACTGTAAAGTGCTGACTATTGTGTATTTATATATTATGGTATTCCATAATATGGATAACGATGGCAGCAGAGGCCGTAGTGCTGCATTTACCAATTTAAAAAAAACTCAGCCTCGCTGGTAGGAAAATATTTGCATATTTGAATTTATTAATATTAAATAATAGTAACTAAGTACCTCCCAGGCTTCTAAGCATCTCGTTTTTCGATTTAATTTTTATAGAAATGGGTAGTGTTACTTCGGTTACTGATAAAGTAATAGCGCTAAATACGACGTTGATGAGTTGATTCACCAAACTATATGTAATACGATGAATACGAATAATAATAAAAAAAATAGTTACTGAAAAATGTTGTTACTAGTTACCTACCTAGGTACCTAAATTTTTTAAATAAAAAACCTTATTTTATGTTAAAATTAGTGGGTTGACCTGTGTAATAAGATTTTTCCCAAAAAAATGAAAAAAATTTTGTCACAGTTTAAGTAAAATCAAATTTGGCAACCACATTTTAATACTTGATTTCAGGATTTTATATATAAACACATTATAATTCCCTGGTATCTAATAATGTGAAACGTTATTTTTTTTTTCAAGCCGGACATGGAACAAAAGATAAAATTGTGGACTCCAAAACCTTTGGTAAATAAAACTTCCCCATCTGCGTTGCCAATGGAAAACTATATCATTGATGGCAAGGTAAATAAAATTAAGAAGACGCTACAACCACATGTGTTGCCACCGTTTTATATAATATGGCAAATTGAGTACCTACTATAATCAAACTTAAAGATAAAAACATTAGATACAGCGCCTAAAATTAAGATATTTTGCTACAGCACACCTAATTCCACACCGAAATATTTAAAAATTATGAACATAAGACCTAGTAGTCCACATGCCACATTATGGCACATATAACTTAATTGCATAATTGTTTTTGCTATTCATTAATAATTAGTTATAATAAATACAATCTAAGACAATCATCTATAAAATTCCTTGATACTTATATAGCTATATGAGTAAACATTTTAAAATTAAAAACAAAATAGAAATTCACTCTTATTTTTTTTTTAACTTGTGTTAATTTTCAGATAAAATTACACACCAACAGTCAAGAAAAATGCTAACAATCTTTTTTAAGAAGGTGTTAAATACGTAACTTTCCTGTAAATACTTAATGAATAATTTAAACAAAAATTAACAAATACTTGGTAGTAAAATAATAGATAGGGGAAAAATCAAAAAACATAGCAACTAATTTTTTCGGAAGGGTTTTTTCTGAAAAAACCCGATAAAACCTCCCATTATTACTTTTCAAATAAAACCCGCTGGGTTTTTGGGTTATTTGAAAAAAAACCCGGGTTTCTGCCAACTGGTTAATATACTTACCTACTATATTATAAGCCGTCCAGAATATGGCGTAGTCGGTATTATTTTTAGTGTTAAGGATTTTAAACGAATACAATATGCTAATTAGTAATTTTCAATAATCAATATTGAATATTAATCTAATAAAAATGTATATAAAAAGCCCTACTGCACATAGTTTGTGCTATACTGCACACAATTTTAGGCCCTGATTAGATGTATGGTACATTCGTTTTTTACGATATTTTGATTTATAATCGAGTATTATTGTGTCAATTTAAATTTGCTAATATGCAAATTAGCTAGGTTGTACGTTTGTAAGACGGGACAACATATGCTAGCGTGCAGTACATAATAATGAATTACTATTAGTTACTATAATATTTGTATGTATGTATGTATGTATGTATGTATGTATGTATGTATGTATGTATGTATGTATGTATGTATGTATGTATGTATGTATGTATGTATGTATGTATGTATGTATGTATGTATGTATGTATGTATGTATGAATAATGACGTTATTTAATTTTTGTTTTTGTGTTTTCGATTGCTGGTATTAGACTGAACATTATATCACAATTAATGGCCGGTCGTGTATAAATTTCGCCACCCACAATTATTTTAATTTTATCAGCAGTAAGTGTATTGAAAACAATGTAGTGGATGCGGTGAATAAATATGGCATTGGTTCTTGCGGACCCAGGGCATTTTACGGCACATTTGGTAAGTAAAACCGTTGCGTCGCATTATAGTTTTTAATTTGTCACCAGACCACAAATATTTATTTTGCTCTCAATCATACTAATTTTTCTTTAAATATAAAAATATACGAATATTGAATTATTAATTATATTAATTAACATATATAGTTCATGAGAAACAATTGTTAAAAAAAAATATTGTTATACATTCATGCAAATCGTTTTCATTGTACACAGTACACACACAATCATGTGTTTATTATTATCTCTGAGAATCTAAACAATAGAACAATGTAATTTTTACATTTAAATAATATGTAAATGTACCCAATAGATTAGATTAAAAAAAAATATTACTAGGTATTTTATGTACTATTTAATTTGTGTTAAAATTTGTTTAAATTTGAAACGATTTAAAAGATAAAAAATGTTTTAAAAATATGAGTAATATAAGTAAGTATCTATATGTTTATTTATTTGCGTGCCTATCGTCATCTTTAGGAGCAGTAGCAATTCTTTTTGAGCAAATTTGAGGGTGACCTAAGGTAGCCAATTGGATCTAGTTGGTAGATAATTCAACACCAAAACAAAACAATTGTGTATGATCTTACTCGAAGACTGAAAGGTCCATCACATATTTAAATTATGGCAGTTCTTAGACTTTTCGATTTTCGATTTTTTTAGTGGTAGATTTATGCAGGGGGACGGAGTGACACGGAGCGACTAAGGCGTCGGGTTGCGAGCACACCGGCAAGGGCGGCATTTTTCTTCCGGGGCTCAAGCTCAGAAAAAAAAAAAAAAGTTATGCAAGGAAAAAAACTTTAAACAGATATACAAAGATTGCCTAATTTTCCCCGGCTAGTAAAACAATATGGCGGAAAAATGAAAGTCACAAAATTCATTTTCGAATCAGAAAAGGTTACTATGAAATCAAAAGACTGTTTTACTGGAATGCGTACGATTTGGAATTTAAAATCATAAAAAGTATAAGAAAAAAATATACATGCATTCAATACAATACAAGGCAAAAAAAGGTGGCAAGTGGGATGCCTGTTACAGTAGTTGTCGAGCATGTCGATACATGAAATCAATGATAAACCATTGTACCTATACGAAAAACGATTTTGAGCGGAACGGTTGTGTCATACTTGCAGTATAAATAATCAAATTTACTAGGTATTATTAAACATTTATTTCATAAAAATCTAAAATATCTCATGGCTATAAATGGAGGGACTTTCCGGTGAACTTTTTCTATATATAGTGAAAGAAAATCTTTTATGAATTTCTAACTGAAAAAAAGGTTTACAAAATTTGAAAAATATATCGTGGCTATAAATAGCTCAAAAAAAATTAAAATAGTTCGAAAATTTGACCATGTATGTAATATAAATATTAGGTGAACATTTCATGAGTATAAAGATAATCGTTTTGGAAAACGAATGTGTAAATGTGAAATCTTCTATTAAAATTTTAGATTCTGAGTGGAACGATGACTGTATTGATTCTACAATGATGTGTTTTTTTTTTATTTTTTTTTTTGTGTGTCTGAGTACACGATAAGTAGTCAAATAATTCTACGATTTTCAACTTCAGTATCTTGTTCGATTAAAAAGCGAATATCGTTGATGCATAGGGCAGGTCAAAATTAAAAATTTTTAGTAATTTTCAAAAGCGAAAAGAAAAACAAAAGCAAAATTAAGGAAAAACGGGAATTTTTACGCAAAATCGATTTTTCACAAAATTGAATTTGGTTTTTAGTGTAACTTTAAACCAAATTACCGTAGATACATGAAATTTTCATTGGTTGTTTATATTTGCATTTTTATACACGATAACATTTTCAAAATATTTTGATTTATTTTGAACTGTTTAGGAATATTTTCATTTTCCATTTTTTTTTAGTTTTTTTTTCTAAAAATATCAATAACATTTTATTTGTTTGTTAAATAGCTTGAAAATTTAATAGAAGGCTCCTAGTTTATTGTTTCAAAGGCAGATGAAAAAAATTAAAAATCCTTAGCCACAGTTTTTTTTTCTAAGCATTTAAAGTTCAAATATTGACAAAATACATCAAAATGATGAAAACTTGAAAATTATTTCGAATTAGAAATTCATAAATAAGTTAAGAATTCGTAAAAATTTTTTTTTTAAATCTAAGGTTTTAAAATGTAATACAAGATTCCTTATAAGATTATCTACCTTTATCAAAAAGATAAATGTCTATAAGAAAGTCAAATTCAAATTTTTACAACATTGGATATTCACTCGATTTCTCATGTTGCGATTTCCTTATTTTGTTGTAATTTAAACGGGGGGTTTTTTTTTAATATTACATCAAATAACAAAATCGACTGTAAAAACCTAGTTTTGCTTAAAAATCTCTGTTTTCCTTGATTTTTTTTTCCGACATATGAAAACTAATGAGAAACATTCAACTTTTCCCCAAAATACTAGATTCACTTGCCTATAAGAAAATATGCCAAAGTGAAACATAACCATTTTTTTGCCCTAAAAGGTGATGACGGACAAAAAAAAACATTTGTAAAATCAATACAATAATTTTTCGCACGCGGATGTCGTTATGATAATAATATAAAGGCGTATATGATACACGACACAGTCTCTCGGTTACTCATAAATACACGGTATGCAGTATATACAAATGGTATACGGTATACGGTAAATGTGTTATTAAAGATCTAAATTAAATTATTAAACTAATCTATATGGATACAACAAGAAAATATACTCAGTCACCCAAGAAGACTTGTGATATGAAGTTTTCAAAATACTTTGACACTTTGAGCAAGGTTTACATAGGTATATGAGAAATTGTCGATTTATTTTAGTTTTTTTTCTATAAATATCGCTAAATATTTTATCGTTGGTCAAATAGCTTGAAAACTAATACAATGTTCCTACTTCCATATAAGTGGTTATAATGGCAGTGCAATTATTTTTGACGAATTTAAATAATTTAAAGTTATAGAATATTATAATTATTAACCAACATAAGAATTTTTTGTTTTTTTGGACGAGCTTATAGGAACGGGAACACGACCTATATAATTTCTTGAATATATATATAAATTGCAATAATGAGAAATCTAATAATAATTAGGAACTTTCCATTAATTTTTTTTTAGATATACACATTGAATTAGAAGAGAAAATCGCTAAATTTATGGAAATGGAAGAAGCCGTTATATACTCTTATGGGTTTTCTACGGTGACCAGCGCCATCCAAGCATACATTAAGTCTAGAGACATTGTATACGTGTGCGTAGTAAATAGATACCTATCCAATACAACACTTTGCGTCACCTTGTAGTGATTGCTTTCGTTTTGTTAATAATATTGGAACATTTTTAGGGACGAAGAAGTGAACTTCGCCATACAAAAGGGTCTGCAATCTTCTAAAGCGGAACTGGTGTACTTCAAACACAACTGCCCAGAAGACTTGGAACGGTTGATCTTAGAGAAAAATGCAACAGTAAGTAATCTGTAAAAGCAATACAAAATGAAGAGATAACTCCTTCATTATTTCAAAAAAACAATTTTTATAATGTTATTGAAATTTATGAAAAAAAAATTAAATATTATTAGTTAGGTACTATGTTCAAATTCTGTATAAATTTATAATTCAATTGGTAACCATTTTAATATAGGTTTGTGGTGCAGTGGTTGCATTCAAATACTAAACGTGTTCTGAGTGCAAGCACCGACCGGTGTCACTAGTTCCTGGATGGGTGACCACCCGGATTTTTAGTGACAAATCTAATCTTTGGGTTTCAATCCAACTGTAACCGCCCCCAATCGATGAATAAATCGATTAATCTATCAATTTATTTTTTAATGCATTACTAGTTTTAACTTGATCAGTTCTTGGGACTAACTAACCAGTGCTAATCAGCAGTCTTGTAAAATATATTTTTTATAAGTATTCAACGTGTAAAAATTTGCTAAGTAAAAAAAAATATAAGATCTTTAAGCACTATAAAGATGTGATATCATGAATAAATGCTGAGTACATTGAATTTAAGTAAACTTATTTTGTTTCAATAATTTATTGATTTACTTGGCGAGGAATTATTTCATAAAAGAAACAAAGTGTGATGAACAAAATAATTAAATAGCGAACGACTATTAAAATATAACTTATTATTATTTAAAAAATATTATTATTAATATTTATATACTATTCTAAATTATTCCTCGCCAAGTACATTATTGAAACAAAATAGGTTGACTTAAATTCAAAAAACTTAGTATTTATTCATGATATCACATTTTTATAGTGCTTAAAGGTCTTATATTCTTTTTTACTTTGCAATTTTTATACGTAGTTAACGAAGGGTTTTTGTTGTGATATCACTAATTTTTATCGTTATTAAATATTGAGTATTTACACAATGATCTATAAGAATCGTACCTAATATTGTTGGTAACAATGGCAACGGTGATTTGACGAAGACGACGACGGCTACAGTGATTCTGAATTTAATATAAATTTCCATTAAAAAGTTCGCACTTTTTCATTTATAACTTATACTTAAATGAACTAATTATGTTAAGTAGGCTTTATACCTTCGTCGAATTAAGTCATGATAACTTTTTTTTTTTTATTTATATGTTTTTTTATTCAATCTGTTAAAAAGAAGAACAATAAGAACAATTGATGGGTTAAAATGTTAAAATAAAAATAAAAAGGCAGATTGGATGGAATACACTTGTAATTTATTTTGTAACTATTCTCTTTTATATAAACTTCATATGCCTGATGTAATTTACAGAAGAGAAGAAGAAACAGAAGAGCGTTCCTAATTGTCGAAGGAATTTATATGAATACCGGAAATATTTGCAACTTGCCAAAATTGATTGACATTCGAATAAAACATAAGATCCGCATATTCATTGACGAAACCATATCATTCGGCATTCTTGGTGAAAAAGGTCGAGGAATTACTGAACACTTTAATATACCGGTAACTGCAGTCTTGTAAAAGATACATACATTTACATTTTAAAATTATTCAAGTACCTATAGATACAGATACTTATTTTAAAAAGTATTTGAGTACGAATACAAATACTTTAATGTATTATTTTATAGATGTTCTTAAAAGTACCAACTATACATTTTTTTTCTAAATATTTTTTTTACATTATTAACCAAAGTAACCGATTTTCATGTTTTACGTAAATTGTATGGATTATTTTACAATGTGCATTATGTATTATGCATTATGCATTAAATATTCATTAGTCATTACACTTCTGTAGAGTATAATATTTACAGTAAAAAATGTACGTTGTTAAAATACAAATTAAAATTATACAAGCCAAAAAGAATACATAGATTAAGTAAATATTTAAAAAACATTGTCCAACAGTCTAAGTACATATTTAAACGTATTTAAAATACATATTGGAATACTTTTACTCAAATACTTTACAAGACTACCGCTAAGGATAACAACAGTTTTATTTAGTATTCAAAAGGAAATGGGTTTTTTTCAACAATGAAATAAAATTGAGAACTAACAAGCAACAGTTTATATTATATTCTAAATTTAAGATAAATTAGTTAGTACAGAAATAAAAAAACGCAGCATGCTACTAGATATTTTTTCTCTGCAAGTAAAATTGAGAAATCATAGATGTTTTTTTTTTATTGTTGATTTATGTTTCTAAGGCAATAAACAAAGAGTTACCCAAAATCGGTATAAGAAAACAAAAAGCTTTATCCAGCCAAAAACATATTATTATCTAATATCAATGTTAAAAAAACCTATTAAGGTTTAGGGTACAATGAAACGATAAATTTGTAAATATATCAAATATTTACACCAACGATAAAGTACCTATATTATTATTAATTTTTTTTTTTGTAGAAAGACGAAGTTGACCTGATCATTGGAAGTCTAGAGACAGCCTTGTCGTCAGTTGGTGGTTTTTGCGTAGGCTCAACATTTGTGGTCGAACATCAGAGGCTGTCTGGTCTTGGTAACGAAAAGATTTGCTATTATTAATTATATAAGTTGATTTTATAATACAAATATTAAGATGACATTGATGATTAGAAATACGAATAAAATTTAAAATAATTTAATAATGTCAGTAATGTAGAACAATTTTTCCTTAAGTAGTAAGAAATCAAAATGTTTACAGAATTTTGTGTAGATATCTGCATATACATACCTTTGTATTAATTACTTTTTTTTATATTCATTTTGTAAATTTCTTTCAACAAATATTTAAGTATCACTACAAAGTACAATTGCTATTATCTATTATATTGTTTGTCTTATTCTTATTCAAGCATATTTTTATAATTGTTTTTTTATCAAAGCCTTGTTTTGTTAATTTGATAAAACTAAAAATAAATCCATTCAGACTGAAAACTGAATGACGTATAACACTAATGTAAAACGTTTAGTATATTACATTAAATAAAATGTATAGCTCATATAGGGTCATACAGTTAAAAATTTGAGACATAATAATTTAATTTTTAACTTTTGAGTGATAATATTATTAGACGTCCTAATAATTAAAATAATTTCAACATAATTCACCAAAGCATATAGAATTTTTTCGATTTCTTGTAGTTTCATTTTTTTTATTTATTTGTGATGTAGGTACTATAAAAATATAGTTGCATAAAGATAAGTGTTGGATATTTAATAATTGCCTGAAATAGGTACTAATTAGTTAATTTTACTTTGAAGGTAGTTTAAAATAGAGTATGATGTTTTCACGTATTCAATTTCAGCTATTGTTTTTCGCATCGTTACCCTCCACTACTATCATCAGCGGCCATTAAAGCTTTGGACGAGATTGAAAAACATCCAGAAATGTTGGCAAAACTGCGAGAAAGGAGCACAAGTCTACATAAAAGTCTTCGTAATAGTCAATTGATCGAACACTTTACACTTGGTTCTGATGAATCAAGTCCACTAAAACATTTGTATCTAATAGATAATTCTCTATTACACTCTGAACAACAGCAAATATTGAAAAAAGTTGTTGATTATGTAAGTCATAAATAGTCCTTATTTATCGGTATAAGAAACCAAAAGCTTTATCCAGCCAAAAACATATTATTATCTAATATCAATGTTAAAAAAACCTATTAAGGTTTAGGGTACAATGAAACGATAAATTTGTAAATATATCAAATATTTACACCAACGATAAAGTACCTATATTATTATTAATTTTTTTTTTTTGTAGAAAGACGAAGTTGACCTGATCATTGGAAGTCTAGAGACAGCCTTGTCGTCAGTTGGTGGTTTTTGCGTAGGCTCAACATTTGTGGTCGAACATCAGAGGCTGTCTGGTCTTGGTAACGAAAAGATTTGCTATTATTAATTATATAAGTTGATTTTATAATACAAATATTAAGATGACATTGATGATTAGAAATACGAATAAAATTTAAAATAATTTAATAATGTCAGTAATGTAGAACAATTTTTCCTTAAGTAGTAAGAAATCAAAATGTTTACAGAATTTTGTGTAGATATCTGCATATACATACCTTTGTATTAATTACTTTTTTTTATATTCATTTTGTAAATTTCTTTCAACAAATATTTAAGTATCACTACAAAGTACAATTGCTATTATCTATTATATTTGTTGTCTTATTCTTATTCAAGCATATTTTTATAATTGTTTTTTTATCAAAGCCTTGTTTTGTTAATTTGATAAAACTAAAAATAAATCCATTCAGACTGAAAACTGAATGACGTATAACACTAATGTAAAACGTTTAGTATATTACATTAAATAAAATGTATAGCTCATATAGGGTCATACAGTTAAAAATTTGAGACATAATAATTTAATTTTTAACTTTTGAGTGATAATATTATTAGACGTCCTAATAATTAAAATAATTTCAACATAATTCACCAAAGCATATAGAATTTTTCGATTTCTGTAGTTTCATTTTTTTTTATTTATTTGTGATGTAGGTACTATAAAATATAGTTGCATAAAGATAAGTGTTGGATATTTTAATAATTGCCTGAAATAGGTACTTAATTAGTTAATTTTACTTTTGAAGGTAGTTTAAAATAGAGTATGATGTTTCACGTATTCAATTTTCAGGCTATTGTTTTTCTGCATCGTTACCTCCACTACTATCAGCAGCTGCCATTAAAGCTTTGGACGAGATTGAAAAACATCCAGAAATGTTGGCAAAACTGCGAGAAAGGAGCACAAGTCTACATAAAAGTCTTCGTAATAGTCAATTGATCGAACACTTTACACTTGGTTCTGATGAATCAAGTCCACTAAAACATTTGTATCTAATAGATAATTCTCTATTACACTCTGAACAACAGCAAATATTGAAAAAAGTTGTTGATTATGTAAGTCATAAATAGTCTTTATTTAGGAGGTACTCATAATTTAATTATTTATCGTTCCTCGGGGCCTGTATGCTCAAGCGAGGGGTTAGGCTCAGGTGTTGCCAAGTGTAAAATACGACAAAGGACGGTACACTTTAACTACCAACAAAGTTGCTACTGTACGTAAGGTTCCAGGTAAAAATTTCGCCGAAAAAATAACTCTGGTCAAAATATCGGTGTGAAATATCTCCAATAAAATATGTATCCCGAAAAATATTTATTATAAAATATCTTTTAAAATATCTCTCAGATGTAAGTAATAATTTAGTTGTAAAATCAATAAATATAAACGTTTAAGTTGCAACTAACCTGTCCAGAGTTTTATAAAAAATATCTAATAATTATCTAATAAAGTAAACAATTTGAAGTAGTAAATAAATTAATGTTGAAGCCGGTACAATATAAAATAAAAATAAATAAATACGTTTAAGTTACAACTAACCTGTTTTCATAAGGGGATCGGAGCCGGTGCGTCTTACAGGAAAAACTCTCACGCCCTGTATAATTGTCAGATTTCGTTAATTTTTTTTTATTTATAATTAGAGAACATTTTGTAGGTCGGATCAAAGTCCTATTTTGAAAATTATAATTATAGAAGCTGATATTATATGCATTTGAATAATGCATAATATTAATTGTTCTTTTTCAAACGTATTTTTCTACTACTATTTAAAATAAAACAAAAATTTGAACTTTGAACTGACCTGCAAAAACTTCTCACCTTTCAGATAAAAAGAATTACCAAAATCCAACATATCAATGAGGTGTGAGAGTTTTTCCTGTGAAAGCATTTTTGTGAGTATTTTTTTCAAAATAGTGCTTCGATAATAGTCATCGAAGTCAATCGCTGACTTGTGCATGCGCGTTCGTAAATATCTTTATCTGCTAGTGTAATTATAGCTCACTCACACTAATATCGATTTACATATACACATGCGCGAGGGCTGATACAAAATATAAATTAAATTGCCTACATTTTACTCCTTAATAAATGACCGGCACCGACACCCATAATTATATAAAAACATATCTAATCGTTAAAATTTTAGATTGTGTGCCATTGGTCTTAAATACTTCAAGGCGTTTTTACTGTCATACTGATTAACTATTGTTAATTCATCGTGGGGCATTATATTTTTTTTCTTCTTTTTGGATTGCTTTCACATGGCAGACACTGTTCCATTTTAACCTACAAATAAGTAATTTAATTATGAATTATAATATTATATTATGTAATTATATATAATATGTATTATTTTTTAAATAGGTATATTCACTGTATACCTCTTGTAACGACTGTTCCTTTTTAAAAAATGCTATACATTTCTATACGGATACATGATTAGCTCCCAGTCCACCGTTTAATGCATAGTGCCAACCCTTAACTGCATTATTTGTTCGATTTTCGAGTGACGAATCTTAATAATTGCAAAAATCAAATTGCGGTGAGAGTCTCCAATTTTTACGATTTGGTCGGCCAATCCTGGTACCTTCGAATTAGTTTACAATTGGAGATAAAAGCTCTTCATTTTCAAAAAATATGTCAAATTTACAAGTTCTTCAAATATCTGAACAACGTCGACTATTGGAATAAATGCTAAAGCACTTACGATCGTAATTGAAGTGCAAATTCAACATCATCAGTCATCACCATACAACTTGTAAACCACTGGTTTGTACTTTACGCCACAAACATTGTTGAAAATAAAAAAAACTGCCTTTAATGTCAACTGTTGGAAATTCATCTATAAAAGACGATAAAAAGGCCATTTCAAAGTCTATCATAATTCGCTCGGGAGTTAAATCCAAAATTAATGATTATAATAAAGTATAATAATATATATATTATATGAACCTTTAATGTGAACTACCATTAAAATATAAATAACAGGATAACTTCTTTTATTTCTTACACCATGTATAGTATAAACTATTAAGTTGAGAGAATAATGTTGGTACTGAACAAAATATTCCATCTCCAATCCAATTTGAACAGTCTTTAAGTGTATTTAAATTTTCTAACGTTGAAAATATAAGTACACGTTTTTGCATTTTATTATCATAAAATAAAAACTTGTCACATTTTGATGTTATCGTATACTCACCAGAAATTACTAAATCATCAGTATTTATTTGATTAGCTGGTGGTTTTTGTTCGATGGTTCTTATTCTTTGAATTATCTTATAAACTAAAACCATGTTAGCTAACTGACCACTTATAGATGTAAGGAGTGTTTCCACGGCTTGAAATTTCTGGTAGATAATTCAGTTATTTTAGATTCTGAGCGGAGCGATGAATGTATTGGTTTACAATGATGTATGTTTTTTTTTATATTTTTATATTTTTATATTTTTATATTTTTATATTTTTGTGTCTGTCATCACGTTTTGGGACAGTAAAAGTGCTTCGATTTTCTTCAATAGTACCTTTTCTGATAGGAAAGTGAATCTAGTTGGTACTTTGGGGGGTCAAAAGTAAACATTTTCCAGTAGTTTTCACAAGCGCCGGGAAAAACAACATAAAAATTAAGGAAAAACGGGAATTTTTACGCAAAATCGATTTTCCAAAAAATCGAATTTGGTTATTGGTGTAACTTTAAAACAAATGATTGTAGATACATGAAATTTTCACTGGTTGTTTATATTTGCATTTTCTATACACGATAACATTTTCAAAATATTTTGATTTATTTTGAACTGTTTAGGGACATTTTCATTTTTCATTTTTTTTTAGTTTTTTTTCTAGAAATATCAATAAAATTTTATTTGTTGGTTGCGAAAGCTTGAAAATTTAATAGAAGGCTCCTAATATGTTGTTTCAAAGGCAGATGAAAAATATTAAAAATCCTTAGTCACAATTTTTTTTTATAAGCATTTAAAGTTCAAAAATTGACAAAATATGGAAAAATCACGAAAATTAGCAAATTATTTTGAGTTAAGAATTCGTAAAAATTTTTCTTTTTAAATCTAAGATTTGAAAATGAAACACAAGATTCCTTATAAGATTATCTACCTTTATCAATAAAAAAATCTCTACCGGACAGTCAAATTAAATTTTTATGAGCGTTTGAAATTCAAATTTTTACAACATTGGATTTTCACTAGATTTCTCATGTAGCGATTTCCTTATTTTGTTGTAATTCAAAAACGAATAACTGTAGATACATGAAAATTTCACTGAATGTTTATATTAGCATTTCCTATACACCATACAATTTTGAAAATATTTTGACTCTTTTTGAGCTGTTTATGGACATTTACAGCTTTCAATTTTTTTTAGTTTTTTTTTCTATAAATATCAATAAAGTTTTATCTGTTGGGCCAAAAAGTGTAAAAATTTAATACAAGGCTCCTGATATATTGTTACAATATCAGTTGAAAAATATTAAAAATACATAGGCACGATTTTTTTTTATAAGCATTTAAAGTTGGAATTTTGACAAAATTTATCAAAATCTCGAAAATTATCAATCGTTGGAATTAAAAAATTATAAAATGTTCAGTTTTTATAACTAAGAGTTGAAAATTTAAAACAAAGATTCTCTTAAATAATTCATACTGTAACCAAAAAATCTAAAAAATATATAAACACACTTATTTTTTACAGACATTTTAATTTCAAATTTAGACAAAATTTCATATTTAAACCAAGAATTACGATTTTAGTTATTTTGTTGTGATTGAATAATATTATTCGTGGGTACTTGAAACTTCTAAAGTGTACTATTATATATCTATGACAGTATCACGGTTTTTGTTGATGTATAACGCGTTATAACTGTTATAAGTATGTAATGGATATTGTGATATGATTAATTTGGAATTTATTATAGGTCATTTTTTTGTTTAATACCATAGATATGTATATAATATGTCTTATACATAGACTGACATACCGTCACCGCTCAGAATCGTTTTTCTTATACAATGATATTATATCATTGAATTCAAATTTAATACCATCCATTATACAGTGACCCACTTGTAACCTACAGTACAGCAGAGCGACACCCACTTGCCCACCTTTTTTTCTTTTAATTTTATATTTGTTATGACCTCTTTTACTGAGACTTTGCATATATCTGGGGCGTGCGAATAATGAACCACTTCTTTTATTATTTATCCTTAAATAGTAATTTTAAAAATAATTGAAATAAAACATCAATAATAAAATAAAAACTTTTAATTTACCTGTTTAATATTGACCGGTTGTATAACATGAGGTCATTTGTATCTTTAGTACTCAGTACAACACCAAATTAATTTATTCACACCTTTTTATAATACAAATTAAGGTGCCCGTTAGTCGTTACTAGACAATAAGTTTTTGTTTTCTTGACTGGAAATAAATTGTAGAGGCATTATTGATGTAGGTGGTAGGTCACTCACTTCTGTTTTTTACACACTGCAGTCGGCAGTCGCAGTCTATAACTTTTCTTATAATTTGTAAGTATGGTTTGTCGTTGTGACCGATGTGTAATAAAGATTAAACACCATTTAAACATAGCTATAGGCGTAGGTATTCGTTTTCTTAATCGCCGAGTAATTCAATGATACCTGTATATCAATATACCATTGTGTTTAAAAAAGAATCTTAGGGAAAACGGTGTTTTATTTTATTTTATCTTAATATAGCTTCTATAATTAATAATATAGGTAGGTTGAATTCATTTTTACAAAAAACATCGTATTTGCATACCTATTTTCCTAAAATGATCAGTATTTTTTTGGTAACAGTAACAGGGACCTTGTATTACATTTCAAGACTTAGCTATAACAATTTAACATTACCTTCATAGATTTTTAATTACAAATTATATGCGGTTTTGTCAAAATAATAATTTTAAATGCTTATAACAATGCTTATACCTCACCTAAATGTCTGAAAAGATTAGACTGGGTGAAATAAAAATAGAATTGTAATTGTTTATTTTCAATCCCCCAGCGTACGCCACTGCCTGGACTCTTTCTTGATTTGAGTTTTTTAATTTTAGTTATTTTCAAAAAAATATACATAAATATATGCCCCTAATTAATTGTGCACCCTGGGCCAAAAATATCCTGTTCCTCTGCTAAAGGCTACCAGATATTAAACAACAATATTAAAGACAGTCCATGGTAGGTAACCATCCAAATACTTTTCAGTTAAAAACATATTTAACATGAGTTTATAATATTATTCATTTTGTTTTAGTGTATATCAAAAGGAGTAGCGATAACGACGGCTGCGTATTTGAGTGATCGTGAATACAAGACTCCCACTCCCAGCATCAGACTTCTCACAAGTATTAAAATAACAGATGAAGAAATCGACTCCCTCATAGATACACTGTTGCAAGCGGTCACTGCTTCAAACATTTAAATTGTATAACTAAACAATGTTGTTTGTTTCTTGTCAGTCAAATACATAATATCTGTTAGTTGCTACCTACTTGAATATCTTGAAACTATACCTACCTATGTTACAAAATGTGAGCTGTAAATTGTAGTTAATGTATATAAATTGTCCTGATGTCAATACACATAGCCACCTAAACGGACAATGTTAAATTGATTCAAAATAAACCGTTGCTTATTACAACAATGAAAGTAAATGCACCATTTTTTAATATTAATTATTTTTTTTCAAGACATACATAATTGTAATTTATACATAGATGTAAGATGTGGGTGAAAGTTATGTTACGTGTCTTCCTAATTATTAAATTATTATTATTTTTGTTTATGATTGATTTTGATCAAATATAGTCAATACCATTAGTATAATGCTAATATAAAATATTGATTAAGAAAAATCGGTCATCATAACTTAAATAGTGGTTGTAAACTTTGAAAAAAACAAATGCGAATTACTAAAAAGTAAAAATCTATAATAATAATCTTTATATGCATATTTGGAGACTAACGACAAAATAGTTTCATTAACATAATATAACATTAAGTTTGCTCCCTCCTATAAGCAAAAGCTTGCATTGGAGGTGAGCGGTTCGTTCCTAAATTAGTCAGTATTGTAGTATGTCAGGGTGTTTCTTTTATCATGAAACACTCATTATTTCAAAAGTATTAATGTTTTTAAAAATATTTTTTTACATAGTTTCAAGTTGTTAAAAAAAATTATATTTTATATCCTTATTATTTTTAAAGTTTTTTTACTTTTTTGAATGACAACATAGAGTTTTAATTTCATATTCCAAAGCAAAATATTTATCTAAATATTTTGATTCATAAAAATCGAATTTAGGGCGAGTACCTAGTCTATGAGTTATAAGTATTTAGATTTTTGATTGGCGGAGTGGAGTGGTAAGGGGTTACCTCGGAGAATGTTTGTCCACTACTCCGCTGGTCTAAACTTTAAATACTTATAACTCATAAACTACTCGTCCTAAATTCGATTTTTATGCATAAAAATACTTAGATAAATATTCTGCTTTGAAATATGAAATTAAAACTCTGTTGCCATTCAAAAAAGTAAAAAAACAACTTGAAACAATGTAAAAAATTTTTTTCAAAAACATTAATACTTTTTGAAATAATGAGTGTTTCATAATAAAAGAATCACTTTGTACCTATATAGAATATTAATATTAACAGTAAAATAATTAGGTGATTTACCTTTTACTGAATTATAGATATAGTGATAAACAAAATAAAATAATTTGGTTAGTCATGAATACTGTTGAATACTAGTAGTGTGGTATCTAATATTTTTACAATGGTGAATATAATAAATAGACAAATTAACAGATAATGATTAAATTATACTTAATCTATAATTTACCTCAGCTATAGTATATATATATATATATATATATATATATATATATATATAGTAATAATTGTTTAAAAATATAAAAAAAAATTTTCGTTATCAACATGGAGATATCAAATGCAGTAGATGCATAGAAAATTATTTTATTTTAACTACTGCTTTAATTATTTATTTAAAAATACATAAAAAAAAACATTTCCAAACTTGGATAATTAACTTATTTAGATCAAATTTACATTTAAAAACCTAATTATTAAGATGTAAAGGTTATTGATTTAGTTGAGGGATAATAATTCTTTTTTCTTTTATTTTTTATTGCATATTATTTTTATGTATATTATTTTTTGTATGCTTGTGTAAGTCAATTTTTGAATCTTTCATATATTATAATCTAATATCAGATTTAATAATACAATGAGGTCAAAGTACATATATTATATGAGCTTTAAATTTTAAACAGCAATATAATATAAAAGTCCTGTGATTTTAAATAGGCTTGAAAATTTGTAAAATGTATTATATTCAGTTTTATTAAACAATTAATTATTATAACCTACATATTTTTCAAGTCTCTCTTAAAAAAAACTTTTTTTTTAAATTTAGTTTTAGTAATTCAATTTATAACACAAATAAAATCTTATTTACAATATTGTAGATTACTAGTAAATACAGGACCTGAAACCAATATTTAATATGAACCAAACTTTAATTTATTATATAACTCAATACTACTATAGTCTATATTACAGATTATATAAACATGTTAAATAAATGTCAAACACATTTCTGGAACTGAAAATACGGTAACTGTAAAAAAATTTAGCTGCTTATTATAAAAAATTATATTATAATATAATCAATACCTATATATATTATCTATACTTATAAAATCCAAATACCACTCACTCACTGATCACTGTATCTCAAAAACTACTCAACGTACAGACTTGAAATTTGGAATAGGGGTTCTTCTCATATTTTCACCGTGCAATAAGAAAGGATTTTCAAAAATGTTGCGTTTTAGTGGAGTAATTAACAATTATAATTATTCACCGCCAATACGTATTGTGCGGCACGGCGGCCCGCGGGTTTCCAGCTACCTGCAACCTATCCTTTTTGTTCGTCGTCTAGAATAATTGTTATTGTTCCCAGAAGTTTATCGATAAAAATAATCTCATGCATCGCCCGTACACCAATTATAATGAACGATAACATAAACCAATACACATACAAATTCTATTTATTAGTTATTATTTCTCCAATCTCCATTGCCTTGCCACGGTGGCACGGTGCCTATACATTAAACACGTTCATTTCATTTGCACTCCGCACTACCAGCAGTTCGGACGTGCGTTACATATTATAAAATATTTACGGTGTTGTGTTCGTCTGCGCGTTAGGATTTGCCAAAATTCGCATTTTAAATAGGTGCTCAAACAGGGACATTGAGATTCACGATGGAAATTGGAAATTTTATTTTTATTTATTAATAGTTGCCATTGGTTACAGTCTACAGTAGAAATTAGCATTTATTTATTGGTTGCCATTGGTTATTCGGGCTGCAGATCAGGTACAAGCTTGCATCAAATCGAATTATTGAACATTGCCTACCAGGGTGGCTGAGTTGCACTTATCGCAGCAAGTTACACCCAAAAGGAGGTCAACAATCATAATTTTTTTAAGAGTTATACGAGTTTTTTAAGATTTTTTACGAGCCACCAAATTTGTTATATTAATCCACCGTATTATATCAAAATAAACTTGATATAACTTTGATACTTTAGAGTTTAATCATACACTTCCGTACAAACAGCACGAGGTCCGCGATCTACCGCAGGTAGATTGCCTACCTGATAATGTACTGCTCCAATTCAGAATTTTTATTCCGGGCAAAGGAAAGATAAGATACATTTTGAACACCATACACCGAATATTGAATAACGAATTGAACAAAGGTTGAGTCATATTGAGTTGATACATTTAACGGGCGACGAAGTGCACGGGATCAGCTAGTAATATAATATAATCAATATATTTTACTCACCAAACATTAATTTGCAACTACCTAATTAGTATAATAATTGCTACTAATTAGTATTTACATTTGCTTAGCAATTTGTCGCTAAACATGTTCTGCATAATACGTCTTTTTGTTTCTTGAATAGTTTTGGCATAATGTCTGTATAACTGTTTGATCTGCAAAGATTTAAAATATATGATTCATCATAATATATAATATATTGTATACAGTTTTGTGGACAAATAATTAACTTATACAAACCTTTCGATAGTTTTGTGTTTAAAAGGTTTAGATCAAAATTACATTTTGTATTACTATTATATTTATTTCTGATAGATTCTCCTTTAGTTACCTTTCTTGTTCATTAAGTTCATTTTAATTTTGTATTTTCCTTTAAGTATTTAGGTTTCAGTATGTTAAAGTATTTATGTTATATTTATCTTTAATTTTTAAAGTATACTTTTTTGATTTTCTGATAAATTACTAACCCCATAAATGTTTATTTTGGAAGATTTGATTGGCTTTGTGTCGCACAAATTTTTTTTTATAAAAATACACCAATTATAGCAATATTTTCGTTACTCTTAAAAGGTGAAATATTTATAACTTTAAAAACTACATCGTCTGTAGTTAAAATAAAGCAAACGTAATTGTTGTTTGTATTGATTTGATATTATTCAATACAAAAATTGTGTACTGAGGGTCAATAGTATCAGATGTTAAAGGTCCTTTGGAAGTTTTTCACTGTTGAATTATCTGATTTAAAATCGCACATTTAATTATACTTTTTGACATATTATTGTAAAGGTTTTTCATGTTTCCTCGCAATACTTTTAAGAGTTTTCATATAATTTTCAAAATAAAAAGCATAACAATTGTCAAGAAGCCCAAAATTATTATAATAATCAACTAGATGTACAATACTATGGATATTATTTGATAAATAATGCTTTCCATATAAATGCTTATAATTCTCAACAAAGTAATTATATAAGTAAATGTTTGGAAAATTGAACATAATCTTTTTTGTCAGGACTAAGGAGAAGAACTGTCATTGAAATACTAAGTGAATGGAAATGTACATTTTTTAAAACTTAGGCACCTGTAAAAAGCTATTATTGTCGTATTTATGTTGTCTTCCAATGGTGTACTCGTATTGCCTTCACTTCTAGGTTTACGTGAAAAATCACATGTTATATATTTTTTTAGTTCTAATAGCGAAGAAGTTATTTGTTGTGTCTTTCGACTTGGTAAGCGAACATTTAATGGTCTTTAGCATTTAATGGTTTAAATACATTATTATATTGAATCTAGGTACCATAGTTGTTGACATAAATATATTATAGTCATAAAAAGAGTATATACACTTTATGAACAAAGGGGTCATAATTAGATATTCTAGAATTTCAAAGGCTAGAGAAAAAAAATTAAGTGCCCTTACCCCCCTCCACAAAAAAAAAAGTTTTTTTGGCTACGGCACTTATAAAATTGGTGCTGGAACTGTACCAAGAGAACCCATGCATTTGTTGTCTCCGTCTTACACAAGCACTAACAAACCGTGATACTATCATAG